TTATTATTATTCACATTTATTATCATTCATATTTATTATTCACATTTATTTTAAATCATATAAATATTCACATTTATTATCATTGACATTTATTATCAATTACATAAATATTCACTTTTATTTTCATTCGTTATTATCATTTTAACTATCTTGAGTAAATCCTGAGCAGTATTGGGTGAATTACATTTTTTTAATTAACTAAGATTGCCTTAGTCCGCTTCAAACGTTTCCTTAAATGTTTGACATTCAGTGACGCAGCAGCCAGTCTGTTGATATTCCTAAAATTTTCTCTTAAAACAATAAGTTTTTCAAGTCCAGTAGCTTTTATCGCTCTTTTCAGTAGTAATGGGAGTTTCCTGTTAGAATTTTTGGGTACTCTGTGTACTAGTGAGCTAGCAAAAATGAGCTGACTCATGTTATAGTCCACCAAGAGAAGGGTTAACCAATCAGAAAGCTCAAAACATTCAATCCGACGTGTATAAAGGCAGCCATTTTATTTTTTCTCCCAAAATATCTTCACTGCCAACCTCTGATATCGAAGACTTAAAGAATTACTTAACAGCTGCTGCTTTCTCCGAATCTTCACCGCCAACCTCTGATATTGAACACATTACGGGCTTCACTGGATTCCATATTCAGAGACTACGGCAAACATAGTTAACATTTCCTTCCTAACCTTTTGTTTGAAGTGGTGTAGAATATCAGAATCTTGGTTATGTCATAATCTTCTCTTGAATTTACATTTCATATACATCTTGGTTGTTGCTTTTGTTGAAAGTCCTCAAGTGATGTGGTTTCTATTATTTGGTACGATTTTTGTCGTCTCCGCTGGGCGAGCCAGTGTCCAGAATGCGATCCACTACACTCCCACGTGTCATCCTGTTTGGAGAACTCACCAGTGGCAAGAGGCTACGTGGGGGCCCAAATCGACGCTTCTGACACAGGCCAACATCGACCCTGAGAGCTGGAAAACCGTTGTTGCAAATCGGCCCTCCTAGCGTAGGGCCATCCGGGGATGGGTAGGTGGTTAAGCGAAGCTTTCGAGTCCAACCGTCAACATTAAGAAGATCTACGACGTGCTGTCAGAAGGGCCCGACTTGCTCAGCTGCGTCCGTAACCCACGCCCCCCCCCCTGTGACTCCTGCTCACGATTCTTCAGGAATAGGTTGGGCTTTTACAGCCATCTCCGCCACCGCCACCGGAGGGGAGAAAGGGAATAAGGAGAGAGGGGGACGATCCCGATGCTCGGATGTGGGAGGGTATCACCACTACTACTACGACTACAGTTCCTTGTTTCTGATTGTATAGCGCCAGTACCACGCGATTAGATGAAGGTTTCTCTTCGCCAAGAATTACTGACTTCATTCGCTCGAAGCCATTTTAATGATTGATCTAAGAAAGCGGTGGTATACAGATGACAGTTTAGATATTTCTGAAATGACATCCTGCATAGCATCCACATGAAAGCCTCGATCTGACGAGACTATTTCAGAACATGACTAGAGTTTTAAAGGTTAGTGTTTTGGTTTTGTAGTAATTGTCAAAGTAGAACGAAACTAACCCTAGCGCAGCCTATTCAAGGTTCAGTTTCCTCATCACTCGTACTAAATTTGTTGTAACTGATCTATACACCGAGATATTTGCATTGTTTGTTATTTACTTGTACTTAAAATAAAAGTCGGTGCTTACAGCCATATTAGGTGGAAGGGACACTTCTCGTCCCATCAGCAAAGTTAAGCAACGTCGAATCTGGTCAGTACCTAGATGGGTGACTACTTAGGAATACCAGTTGCTGTAAGCTTAAATGAGCGGGTGGTGTCATGGAAAAAAAGCTCGGAATGAGAAATCGGAGAGCCGGGTTCGAATTACAAGCCGGTTTCTCATCTTATCTCAAGCGCAAATACCCTGCGGCTATCATGAATCGAAGAGAGATATATTCGCTCAAGCGTATCACATCTCCCCCTAACATCACGCATTGGGCCATCACCGCAGGATAATGGCCCATTCAACCCCATGAATTTGGGTTGGGTTTACGTCCAACAAGGGGACCTTCACAAGATGACTTTAGCTTTTTGACTGGAAATAAGAGCTTTGAACCTAAATTGTCCCTTGGTGATATCTGGTAAACTTAGAAGTCAACAAGCCAATCCTATGTTTAGTCTTGATTCAAATTACCCTGACAGATTAATTTACAGCTTTACCCACCCAAGGTCCAGCCAGGCAAATAATCACCGGCTATATAGTAATCAGTCAGTTATGTGCCGTTCGTGATACACGCTTAGGCGATCATCTATCTTTCGATACATGACTAACGAGGCAGTTTTTTTTCCAGCAGTAGGTTGGCATTTCATTCTGCGGTAGACCAGTTGCCATCCAAGGCTATAGAACCTGGTCAGTTCTGTTATTTGAGGATGAGGATTTATACCTTTCTCAAGAGTGGTATTAGCACGTAAGTGAAGGTAATGGATTCGACTGGAATTCGAACTCGGCTCTCCGATTCCTCAACTGGAGCCGATACAATTAATTAGCATACGCTTCTACTTCCTTCTACACCAGGTTTCTTGTTGCAAGTTTGCACATCGGCTACATTTGGAATCTCAGGCAAGGTAGTAAAGCCGCTAAGGCACAAGGGGTTACAGGATGTGGAGGAAGTAGCAACAGAAACATTAATAATGAGCGAGAAGAGAAGAGAGCAAAAAGGAGGACCGTAGATAGTGATTGACGTTGCATTTAAATTTTTGCAGATTGAAATTGGCTGTAAAGCATGGAGCCGGAAGAGAGTTCCAAAAGCAAGAACTGCAAGAGAAGAAAGTGTTACTTATTGAGGAAAGAGGGCTTGGAAAATCTGATACTCACAGGACAGACTGAAGGCAAGAGTCAGGGGAAAACAACGCATAACATACTTCGTGAGCTTGAGTAAATGGATGGCAGAACAGGTTTTAGAAGAAATGACAAAAAGACAACATTTATTAAGAGCTACAAAGGACAGGAAGTTGTGGAGAATCATGGTCATGGAACATGGCCCATAAAGAAGAAGCTAAGTGCAACTATCTCACCTACTCTAACAGTTTCTTTCCTCGAATTTCTTGCCTGTGGACCCCTTTTCAAATTCTTGCATCCGTGGCCCTTACACTTTCTTGCGGATGTGTGATGTGTGTGTGTGTTGCAGAGGAATAGAAAGTTTGAATTATCAAAAGGTTTAAAATTGTGTGTGTTCAATAATCTTCCATCCACAACAATTAATACAAGATATAGAAATAATGATTCATAAACATCTTGTTTCAAAACGTAACAATTGAATTTATTAATGTTTGATATACATGCATGAATACTGAGTGAAAAGGTTAGACAGAGTTGAGTCTCTTAGATTAGGTAATATTTGTACCTAAGTTCATAAAGTAAAAGTAATTATTAAATTGTAGCTTAGAAGAATAAAGTTTCTTTAGAATGTTTGGAATTGTGTATTGTACACGTTGGTAAAAGTTCAGAAGAGATTTCAGAGTTCGTACTTGCGTGAATGTTGGTAATGGTCTTTAACGTCTGACTGCATTAGTTAACACAGGAGTTCTTGAAGATTACAACTTGGCAAATGAGACGCGATATATATATATATATATATATATATATATATATATATATATATATATATATATTTTTTTAAAAAGTAGGTCTATACAAAGTAGAGCAATATATTATTATATCTTTAATTGTAGTGATCTAAAATATTTTATTGTAATAATGTCTGTCTGTCTGTATATATATATATATATATATATATATATATATATATATATATATATATAAAATGATAGAAATTAAGGAGGATTTGAGATAATTAAGTAATTCATTAAATGAATTACTTAATATATATATATATATATATATATATATATATATATATATATATGTATAATCCACAGCCCATCAGTGCGACTAGACATCCGATTGTATACGTGATGTATATAAATGCTAAACCAAAATCCCAGACAGACGCGCGTGCGAGAGAGAGAGAGAGTGAGAGAGAGCTTACACGTGTTTTGTTTTTATAATTTTGTTGTACCACGTGACAGGCTCAAATGGAAAACGCGGGAAAACAGATTTTACGCGTGCAGGATATCTGATTGGTCGGAACTGACCAATCAGCAAGCTAGATTGAAGGTGATTAACCAATGAATGCTTGTTATATATTTTGTAAGATTGTGATGGAGAAAATTACAACAGGAATAGTGCATTTCCTAGTACGGGTTAACTGGCTGCTGTGGAAGATTCCATACACTCTTCAAAAATTGAAATGCAACGTCAATCGCCATTTTCTTTCTTCTTGAACACTGCTTCTTTTTTTTCTTCTTTCCTCAATCCTCAACATTTGCCGTCTTCACATTCTCTTTCAATTTCACTCCCTGTAACCCCCTGCATTGCTATAAATGTGGTGTTCCCTTCCAATTTCTTGTTTCCCTGATAAATACAATATCCAAAATTTGAAATGCAACGTCAATCGCCATCTTCTGGCTTCTTGAAATCTGTTCCTTTTTTGCTCTTTTCTTAAAATTCCTTTCCACTAAATTCAGCTAATTCTCTTTCACTCCTTGGACCTACTGCTTCTAGTGATGTCAAATTGATGAAAACACGGCGCCAGTCTAGTGCTGCGCTTAAACGAAAAAAAAAAAAAAACTCTAGGTACCACAGCGAAAAGCTTATCCGAAAAATTAACTTGAAAGTCTTTATAGAAAAGACACAGGGAGGCAACCTTACGGCGATGGGAAAGTGCTTGGAGCCGAGTTGCCACATCAGGACCAATAATATTGTTGATTCTTCTTTGTATCTTATAAAGGAGCCCAAGCCCAAATTATCAGTGTTGATGTCAAAGCCACTGCTAATATACACGTTGTATTTTCATGAATGATCATGTTCTTTTTCTATGTATCATGATTCTTTGGGAAGTGGACGATAATAGCTCTCCACAAATTCCCGCCCTTTGTACCGCTTAGAAATTTTTCTACTTAGATAGGAATGAACAGACTGGGGAGATACACTGACTGAAATACAGATAGATAGATAGATAGATACATAGATAGATAGGAAAAGATTGAGATAGATAAAGAGATAGATAGATTAGTGCAGAGTGAGAGAGATGATACATCGTGGTTAAAATGAAGTGATATTAAAAGAGAGAGATAGATAAATAGAAGGAAAGAAATAGGTAGACGGATAAATAGAATGAGATATCTAAGATATAAATAGACCGATATGAACAGATTAGGATTAATTGATTGATAGAGAGATATTAATAGAGTGAGAGAGACAGACTGACAGAATGATAGACAGACAGAAAGACAGACAGACAGACAGATAGATAGATAGATAGATAGATAGATAGATAGATAGATAGATGAAGTGAGTTAGATAGATACGAGCAGACTGAGATAGATAGAAAAGAAAATGACTGAGATAGATAAATAGATAAACAGAAAAGAAATTGAGTGAGAAGGATAGATAGACAAACATGAACAGACTGAGATAGATAGATAGATAGATGGATAGATACAAAACGAACAAGCAGAGATAGATAGATAGATAGATAAAGTAACTGAGATAGATAGAAAAGAAAGAAATTGACTGAGATAGATAGACACACAGATAGATAGATAGATAGATAGATAGATAGATAGATAAAGTGACTGAGATAGAAAAGAAAGAAATTGTCTGAGATAGATAGATAGATAGATAGATAGATAGATAGGGACAGACTGATGTATATATGAACAGCATGAGATAAATTTAAACGGACTAAGATAGCTAGATATGAACGGGGTAATATAGATAGTGAGAAACAAAGAGGCTGATATATATATATATATATATATATATATATATATATATATATATAGAGAGAGAGAGAGAGAGAGAGATAGATAGATAGATAGATAGATAGATAGATAGATAGATATGAACAGACTGAGATAGATTGAAAGCTTTCGGAAATGGCATCAATGTATAGAAGGATTTTAAAAATGAGAAAGAGAACGAGTCAAACTAGGACATCTTATCTCCGTAGACAAATTTATTCCATCTGCTTTCTTTAACTTTTCTTAATCTACTTTCTTTTTTCCCCTCTTCCATTTTGGTTTGATCTCTGAGTTTTCTTTGAAGCGAATTCACTGCAAACAAAATGGAGTCTGTTATTTCCATCAAGTGCACTTTTTGACCTGACTGACTTGCAAACCCGAAAGACTTCCCACTGGAATTTTAAGGAAAAGATCTGACAAAATTTCTTACCTTTGGGCTAATTTAGTGGCTGCCCTTAATGTTTATCTCCTGAGTTGATTAACAGCAAAGAATGCACACCGAAGGATTATGAAAGCAAGATGACATTATCTATCTATCTATCTATCTATCTATCTATCTATCTATCTATCTATCTATCTATCTATCTCAGTCACTTCTATCTATCTATCTATATCTATCTATCTATCTATCTATCATCTATCTCTATCTATCTATCTATCTATCTATCTATCTATCTATCTATCTATCTATCTATCTATCTCAGTCTGTTCATATCTAATTCATTCTGTTCATCTATCTATCTATCTATCTATCTATCTATCTATATATATATATATATATATATATATATATATATATATATATAGATAGATAGATAGATAGATAGATATATGGGCAGCAACCATTCTTTTAAAACATGTCATCGAACATGACAGACAAGGAAAATTTGATGAACGTTTTATATACTTTTTCTAATATTCTCCATGTTTCCATTAGGTGGAGTTAAAGAAGCTTCAAAATTGTCCATAGTCCCAAGTTCATGTTATTCCAAGAGCTTTCGTCCATTTCTTTAGTTATTTTCAAGTTTTTCCTTTTTTTTTATTTTTAGTTAACGTTGTTAATTTCTTTCCACGTTTGTCTGTTTAAGATGTCGTTTTGTGATATATAGTAGTAGCATTTATTTCGAGCCCCGCGAAAGGAACGTGGTTGGAATTCGAGTTGACGTCTTTCATTTTAAATAAAACAAAACATTTTTTTCCGTTGGTAAATAATGTGATATTAATTCTGAGTGCCAGATGTGAGGCTTTCTCTCACAGCGAGATGACCCAGGATTACAGGACCTATGAAATATATATATATATATATATATACATATATATATATATATATATATATATATATATATATATATATATATATATATATATGTTTGTATATATATATATATATATATATATATTATTTTTAAAACGTGGTCAATACAAAGTAGAGCAATATATTATTATATCTTTAATTGTAGTGATCTAAAATATTTTATTGTAATAATGTCTGTATATATATATATATATATATATATATATATATATATATATATATATAAATGATAGAAATTAAGGAGGATTTGAGATAATTAAGTAATTCATTTAATGAATTACTTAATATATATATATATATATATATAATCCACAGCCCATCAGTGCGACTAGACATCCGATTGTATATGTGATGTATATAAATGCTAAACCAGCATCCCAGACAGAACGCTCAATTCTAACAAAGAGCTATATATATATATTTAAACGGTACGCCCCCATCAAGGCAGTAAATGCACTAAGATACATCAGAACCTATAATATTGCAGGTTCTACTTTGGATTTTATCAAGGTAAATAGCAGGTGCACCGGACCATACGCTGGTAGCACTATTCTAACCATTGACGAATGGTAGACTTATAGACTAAGATAGATTCTGGATAGAAAAATTGCCTTACGCGACACTGTAAACCGACTTTCTTAGTAGCTGACTTCGCTATGGTTTCAATATAGTCTTTCCGTTTCGTGTCAGAAGAAAACATTAGCCATAAAAGGCGCAACGAGTGACTTTCCTTGAGTTTTGCATCATCCCTGATCATGAAAGGCAAAGGGTCTTTCAGATGATTAATGGAGAGAAGTTTAGTTTTTGAGGCGTTAAAATTAACGACGGCATCTTTTATGCAAATTAACGACGGTCTTGAGGCCATTTAGGACATCAGCTGTCATTTTGACCTCAATATATATATATATATATATATATATATATATATATATATATATATATATATTTAAAAATATATAAAAAAGAGAAAAACCGCCTACGTTTTTCGGTATAATGTAGATTTTTAAAAAATATATATTATACTTATTTTGCATATTTTTGCAAAATTATGGAAAATAAAGTATAATATATATATTTTAAAAATCCACATTATAACCAAAAGCGTTTGCGGTTCTCTCTTGTATTTAAAATATACACTTTTCTCCCGATGGATCAACCATAAACTCTTATATATATATCTATATATCTATATATATATATATATATATATTGTTTAAATAAGGCGTATTTAGGTAGCAAATATTCATTCGAACATGTTTTGATAAATTAACTGAAAAGTTATGTCTGTTTAATTATTTATTATGTCTCTCCAATTTCTGAATATTATGTTGTATATCGGGATCGAAATCATGAATCAACTATCCAAAGTTTGTATTTTTTGTCCTGTTTTGTTTAAGTTCTTTCAACTGTCTCAGTACTTACTTGACTGGTTATCATGTTACGTATATTCGGCATTGTATATTTCTACACCAGTGTCAGTCACTTCGTTGCCGAAATCTGACTGGCTTATAGTACTACTACTACTACTACTACTACTACTACTACCCTTTCTACTACAACTAATAATAATTCTATTATAAATTCCATAAGAAATGTTACAATTTCTTCAAAAGATGCCAATTGTATTGAATCGCATTTGATATACACCAGCCAATGCATCAAAGATAACTTGATTGATGTGGGTTGCACAACAAAAAAGTAAAAGCCACAGGTAGGATCTTGTACACAGCAATGTGACATCACCGAAGTTGGGTAACATGTTATCACAAACGATTGTAATTTCGACGAACATCTGGTGCTCTTACTGAAAAATATGAAAAATCCACCGACATTTCCTCCTTTAAAACAGCTGATGTATACAAACTAGAAACATCCCTACCCGGGGGAATATATAAATATTAGGATAGTTTTATAATATTTACACTAAACTGTTAAATTAACTGCTCTTAGTAACTAATCAAGTAACGGAAAATTTTAAAATAAGCCCAACTCCATCATGTTACTCACGTTTTAGTTGCATTTCCTTCGCGCTTGCTGCATTCCATTCGTTTTGACGCGTTGATTACCAGTACAACCGTTTTTCACAAGACAAGCAACGTTTGTATTATTATTCGAATTGTCTTCACAATAAATTCTTCAGAAATGCATATAAATTTCACAGGATTAAAAATTCCATTTTCTTGTTTTTATTTAAGTTTTATTTTTATTTATTTAATCTTTTGTTAAAGAGATTTCTATCCCGAAAAACCCAAGGGATATGAACGAAAGGAGGAATCATTTTTACTTATCGTTTTTGTGACTTATATATATATATATATATATATATATATATATATATATATATATATATATATTTTTAACCAGTAATAATTGAGAACAAATAAATAAAAAACAATAAAAACATTATTGAAGACAACTATTACATAATATGAAGAATCCTAATTATGAAATTGCCATCTTGATGGAAACTAATCACGAGCATTTTTTTTTATATCACCTCATTTTTAAAATGCATCAAAATATACATCTGCGTTTTTTTTTATATAAGTAAATATATTGTGCTTTTCGGCGGAGAATCATGATTAAACTTTTTCTAACACACAGTCTTCCCCACTCTTTTTATTTAAATATTTGTATGTATAAAAAGAAAGTATAAACAAAAAAGTCTTCAAATAATTGTCGGACTTTGCCCATTTCATAATATATATATATATATATATATATATATATATATATCGTTCTGGGTATGACGATAAACTACATCCCCGTCCTGGGTAAGACGATAAACTACGTCCAACAGCAAGGCCTCTGATAATATGTTTTTGAAAAAATAATGTTGTAAGCTGTACATTTTTGAAAAAAAATAATATTACCAGCTATACGTTTTTGAAAAATAATATTACCAGCTATACGTTTTTTGAGAAAAAAAAATATTAACAGAAATGGATTTTTGATAAAACAAAATATTACCAGAAAAGAAAAGTTGATATACCGAGGTTGATATACCGTAAAATAAAACAAAAACAAAACAAACCAAACCACACACAGACACACACACACACACACATATATATATATATATATATATATATATATATATATATATATATATATCCTGTTTTCGTGCTAGACGATTTTTCTCACCTGTATCTGTCATGCACCTTTATACACTTGCTGACTGTTTCTTCTATCGCACGTCTCGCCTGTGGGACTATCTACCGGCTTCTTTCTTTCCAACCAAATCAAACATTCAATATTTAATTGATCCGATCTTCTTATTTCGTTTTCTAAGGCTTATTTAGAACTTCTCAAAAATTTAAAAGAAATGCCAATCGTTATCGTCTGTCTTCTTCATTCCTCTTTTTTTATTGTTCCTGCTCCTTAATAATGTTTTTTTTTTTTTTTTTTTTTTCACATTCAGTAAGCCATTGAGTCTAAGTGGATTTATTGCCTGGCTTGATGTCATATGATAAAAAATAGATTTCTGTAAGAGACATTTATGTTAATATATGAACTCATTTTTCAGTTTTAATTTCTATATTTTTTTTCTTTTCGTTGGTTATGTAGACACCAGGTGTTTATCCTGTGGCATTGGTGTTTATGTACAG